ATATAAAATGGTAGGCATGAGTCACTTCTGGGGCCCATACGCATCATATCTGAAAATGTGCAAGTGTTACCCATGTAGATTATTATTTCTGGAAATTGGTTAGGAAAGACTGCCTGATGGCTTTTTTTAAGTGAACTCAATTAGATCTCAAAATACAAAAAATAAACTGCTGAATGGGGAACCATTGTAGCAACAAAGTAACAGTGTGAAAGCCCCTCACATAGTACCTGACATCAGTGAATCTAAACTTGGAAAAATCACCAAGAATCTGGCGTTAGAATTTCCCAAATGTCTAAAATGATGGAAAATAAAATCTCCAAAGTACAGACAAGTGAGCTTGAGACGTAATGCCAACAAAATTCTAGAACATGTACAATTTGTAAGCTCTGAGAAAAGTATCTCTGATTCTGGGAGCCAATACAGTTCACAAAAAGGGATTTAACTGACTAATCTCATATTTTAATAGGAAAGGAGATCTGATAATACATCACATCTTTAGTTTATCAAAGGCAGTTATCAAAATCTCTCAGAACGTTTTTGCATAGAAGATGGGATAAGATGGATTTGTAACAAACGCAAAGAGAGTTGAATAATAAATCAGCATCTCCTTGGACAGACACCTTTGATATATGTCAACAGGGTTGTGACATTATCTCTGTTCTGTTCAATATTTTTATCAAAGACTTACTTAAAGGAAAATACAGAGTGTATGCTTATCAGACTCGCAAAAGACCTGTATCTGGGAAGGGTAGTTAATGTACTAGATGACTAACTGAGATTCATTAAGCGTTTAAATGGCTGAAATTGTTATTCAAACAGTATTAGATAGCATAGGGGTATGAGTAAAGACCTATACTGAGAAATAAAAGAACAAATGTTAGTGATCCAGATTAAAACTGTACACACGATACTGACCAAGGGCTTTCAGTTCATCCAAAATTCAAGGAGCTTGTGTGTTCTGGCTATCAAAACAGTCAAGCTGCCAACAGACAGGGAACTGCATTAAGATAAACCAGTTTCATTTTAATTCACTCCAGAAGGTATTTACTGAGCTTCTACTACATGTCAAGTATGATGCAGGACCCAGAGATACAAAGAAACACATGACATCGGCTCTCAAAGTAGTAGCGGAGAGAGACAGGCATTTAAAGAAACAATTACTCATTAAAGAGTTCCAGCAATGGAAATACCTACCAAGTACAGAGATGGCAAAGAGGGAGTTATCATCCTACCTGGGGTGACAGAGACAAGGTGAGTGGTATTCAATGGGAAGCAACAGACTTTCAGGGTACTACTTATAAACTGGAGCATCTTCACAGGAGAGCTCCAGGATCCTGAAGACGGGAGGATCTTGAAATAATGTCTCATGACGGTAGGTTTGAAGAAATGGGGGGTACTTAGTCTAGAAAAAGATGACAGACAGAAATCATACTAAGTTCTTCAGCGGAAAGGATCTTTTATGGTTCTTTTCTAGTGTCTAGCTAAATGCCCAGCCTATAGTTGTCACACGATATCTGAATAA